AAAGCGCTTTATAGAACATATTGTAAAGTGAATTGACTGTATAGCTGTGGGTGAAACGCGGCAGCCAATTGCGCACAGCTGTCGTGGATTGAGTGACCAAATTATTATTGGTTTTATTTGAGGGATTATTATCCTCGGAAAAGCGATCCCGCCAATCGCCTAACAACTGTGTTCCTACTTACTGCTCGGCAAACAGAGGCGTGTGGAGTAAAGAAACTTGCCCAAAGTTTCGCCCTGCCCGGGAATCGAACCCAGGTCCGCTCGCTTGCGAGGCGAGTGCTCTAACCACTGTGCTACGAGACTCAGTAAGTAGGAACCCGGCTGTTAGTCAATTGGCGGATCACTTTTCTTGAGGTAATAATCCCTTAAAACAAAATATAAATAAGAGTGACAATTTGTTCAATCCACGGTGGTTGGGCTGCTGTGTTTCGCTCACAATATATACAGTCAATTCACTTTACAGTTTACTCTGTGAAGCACTTGGAGGCGTCTCAAAGACGTGATAAGGCGCTATATCAAATGCAAGGATTATTATTATTAATATTATTAAGACTCTAAGGCTCACAGTATTCTATGATTAGATTTTAAAAATGTAACATGAGGAGCGTGAGTGGAGTCTCAGGAAAAGAATCAGGAAAGAACGTCACGCAAACCAGCGGGAACTTTGTTCCAGAAGTAGATCCCTCTCTTGCGAAGATCTCACGGGTTAGTGTTACGTACTTCCACTTTCTTTATAAAGAAATCACCCCATATTACATCCCATATTACACCCCGATTACTTTATACTTGCACATCTCAAGGCAAACAAGAAGAGGTTTCAAATTATAATCGGCAAAATTGCTGACTTTATTTCATTTTTGATTGTTCAAAGATAGGAACTTTTTGGGGGGGATAATCCTTGCATTTGTTTAATTGATGATATTTCCAATTCTAAGAGAGAATACCGTAAGGCTGTGCTTCTAGCAGTTGAGAAAGTGAGCGTCATTGACCGATAAGAGTCCTGGCCCCTCAACCACAGTTTCTCGGTGGTTCCATCACTATCCTTTTATTAATGGGCACAAGGAAGCTTTGGGAGTCTTTCAAGCTGCAACTGGGTATCTCAAGTTGATTAAAACACAGGCACAGGAACATTCATTATAAATCAAACATAACCATCTGTTCCGTGCTTACAGAAGGTTGTGCACAAACCCAAAAGTACGGACAACCTTGTTCACTCTTGGGCTGTGCGTCTCACCACCATCATAGGATTTTGTTTTGACTGAAGAGCGATCATTCTGCAAACCTTCTGCCTGTTTTTTCCTGTGTCTCACAGACGGTTATTAAGCTTGCATGTGTTTTTTTAAAAAAATACCTAACGTTCTTTTACGGTCCACAAGACAATTCGGAGGATAATGTCAAGGATATAAACCTGGACATACAATGATAGTAATAATAATAATAATAATAATAATAATCCTTGCATCTGGTATAGCGCCTTATCACATCTTCAAGACATCTCAAAGTGCTTTAGAGAATATACTGTCAAATCAGCTGACTGTATATTTTGTGGGCAAAGAGAAGAGGACATCAATCTGTATAGATGCACATACACTTACACCCGACAGCTTTGCTAGATTAAGGACACTCAAGCTAATTAATGGGACTGATATAGGAATTCCGGGCAAATGCACACGTCAACAAAAACTACATCATCGGAGATGGAGAAGCACTAGATTTATACTATCCATTCTCAAACGTTAATGGAACGGAAATTAATCTTCGGGACCATCCCTGGGTGAAAAAAGTGTGGGAGAAACTACACCATGTTACCTCTCGGTGCATCCACGTTATCTTCTGTAGCCTGACCACACTCCATCACCCATTGCCTCGATGTGCAATCCTCAGTGTCAAAATAATAACACTTGCATTTGATATAGCGCCGTATCACACCATTGAGACATCTCAGAGTGCTTCGCAGGATACACTGTGAAGTGGATTGACTTGTGTATTTGCGGCAATTATCTCTGCCAATACAACCGAGCTCAGCTCATGCAGGCAGCACGTTTATGGCAAGAGAATAAAAAAAAATGACCATATACCTAAAATACCGCATTGTAGTTAATACAATAAATTACCATCTCTCTTTTTAGCAAGCACACTATCTGTTCCAATACGATCACACGGTAGCATAACATCCCTATATTTCAAATCGATTCCTTTCAGGAGAAGCAGCGGTGTTGTTTGTGGTTTTCTCGACAGTGCATTCAGAAATCATCTAAAAACAAACATTAGCAATGCTACTCTTTCTTTCACCTGCGTGCATTGATGTGTCACGAATCACACCTCACCGAGCAGATTCACAAGCTTGTTAATATCGCAGGACTTTGGTGAGGTCCAGTCAGCAAATACTGTAGTTCGACAGAAATGGGCAAAATGAACAAACCACATTTATACAGGTGGCGCCTTTCATGTCAGGAGGACGTCCCACAGTACTGGACAGTTAAGGATTTGGACTCGAGCTGGAGGTTAGGATCGGAAGGGTGGAGGGCAGGGAGGGTGATCGGAGACACCGTCGAAAGGAGGGTCTTGACACAGGCCTTGGAGGAGACAAGGGAGGGAGCGAGGCGACAGGACTGTGGGATGGAATCCCAAAGGATGGGGGCATAGTCTGAAGGCTGACCGCCGATGATGGGGCGGGCCGGGCGGGGGGACAAGGAGCAGGCCAGAGCTCGCTGAGTGGAGGGAGCGGACGGGTCGATGCGGAGTTAGCAGGTCACAGAGGTAGGGAAGGGCAAGGCAAGGCCGTGGAGGGCTTTGAAGGCGAGGGCGAGGATTTTGAACTATCCTCGGGGGGGGGGGGGGGGGGCGGTGAGGAGCCAGTAGAGCCGGCGAGGATTGTGGGGATAAGGTCACGGAGCCTGGTGAGGGGAGTGGACGCACGAGCTGCAGAGTTCTGGATGATCTACAGCCTGCGGAGGGAAGAGTTGGGAAGGCCGACAAGCAGGGAGTTAGCGGAGTCGAGCCTCGATGTGACGGAAAGCTCGGATGAGGGTCTGAGGGGAGAGGCAGCGGCGGAGCCGGGCGATGTTATGGAGGTTTGGAAAGGCGGTGCGGGTCATGGCACGGATGTGGGGCTGAACATTGAGTGCCAAGCAAGGCTCCGAGGGAGACTCTAATCTTTCACGGAATTAAGCAAAATCGGGGCTTTCCCTTCCAAAATCCTCAGTATAATCATATCATGAATTATTCCTTCCACTAAGATTTCCGCTTAAATGGCATCAATCGGAGTCCTTAGAAACAGGTGACCTCTTTGCGCTGCAAATTCCTGAAGGTGCTGTTGTGATTACATACAGCCTTTAAAACTATAAATCTTGCTTGAACCGCTGTGTGAGTCGAGGAGACACCACGCGGAAACAACGCTACTGCGGGAAAACAACGCCTTACGCCGTAAAAGAAATGAGACGCACAGTCCTCAAAGGATTGCTTCTTCCCAAAAGCGCTTCACAAAACACCCGATCAAATGAACTGACTGTGCATTTCGTGGGCGGAATGCGGCAGCCGATGGCGCACGGCGATGCCCCATAAACAGCCGTGGATTGAGTGACCAAATTATTATCGATTTTTTTAAGGAATTATTACCCCCGGAGAACCGATCGGCCAATCGACTGACAACCGGGTTCCTACGTACTGCTCGGCAAACAGAGGCGCGTGGAGTTGAGGAAACTCGCCCAACGTTATTTAATGTGTGGTTCATTGCGGTCGCCCTGTTGCACGGATTCCCCCCGTCAAGAGTTTGCATTGTCCATTTGCCCTTTCCTCCTTATTAACTCTGTGGATTCTTCCCCAGGGTTTCCACACAGGGAAGGAGGGGGTTGGGGAGAATTTGTATCACATTCAACCGAGGCAGGGAATTGCACCGCAGAGAGGTAACGGGCTGTAAAGCAGAAGTAAGATCGTCTGACCGCCAGATAACGGCGTTCGTCTGCTCGGCTTCAGACGACCCCCCCAGTGGCCGATCAGAGTTAGTCACTGCTGGTCGGGAATAAAATCTTAAATCCCTCACCGTAGCAGCGCCTCGCACAGAGAAAGCATTCGGCTTCACGTAGCTCTGCTGTCATCTGCTGGAATGCATCGGTAATGTAAGACCGTGTTGCCTTATTCGGACCCAAACACCCGCCAGCACGAGTGAGGCACGTTTCAGCGAACGATGCCATGTCCGTCGCACCGGACTGGCGTGAGGCTGACTCAAGCGAGCGAAAACCCTACCGAGGCCGGGATTCTCTGCCGTGCGGTTCCCTCTGAGATGCCTGGAGCTCGCACCGTCTATCGCGCGCACGTCCGTCCTCGTACGCGCGGTCCACGCAGCACAAATATAGCCGGGCAGAGTTGAACGCTTGCCCGGGATGCGTATCGTCTCTCAGATTGAGACATCGGGCGTTGGCCGGTGAACGGGCATGCGAAATGCTGTGCAGCGCTGTGTTATTTCCAGTCGCTCTCCTCGGCTCAGCTCACGAGCAGTTAAACACGGTCAGGGGTGGGTTACAGCGCAGCACTTTGCGAGCTGTAGGGAGTCATCCCCTCGGTATAATTCGATTGCTTTTAAGAAGAAGAACGAAAACCTCTGCATCGGATAAAGCGCCTCTCTCTCACGTCAAAGGGCCGGGGAGGTCGGGAACGTCTCAAAGCACTCCACGGAATTTACGGTAGAGTGAAGGATATTGCCGTGAGTAAATTGGCTGCCACGTTTAACGGCAAAATACATAGAACCTTGACGGGTCAAGGGAAGTATTTTTTTTTCTTTTGAGGGTGGGGGGGTAACGACTGCCGTTTTAAACCAAATGAGCAACACAGGAGAAGCAAGTAAACAACACAGCCCGGATCTAGTTTACCAGGTTAACGGACTCCGGAGGGATGCATCCTCCTTAACCAGTTACTGAGTCTGCAGAGAGTAACGGCGACTATTTAAGCATTTCTTAGCGTTGTTGGTTCGGTCGCGGTGAGTAATTATTGCTGTTACTTACAAACTGTGGATAATAAAACGCTGGACCCAATGTCAGGTCTCGGGCAGGGGGTGGTTTCCTGCAGAGAATTCCTACTTTGGTTTCTTCATAGCCATAGGACTGATTGCTTGAAGGGATCGATGGGGCAGTGGGCATATGGGCATCTGGTATCTGGAGAGCGAAAGATAAGAAGAAGTAATTGTGCTGATTCAGAGCTGTCCAGAATGAGCGAAATGAGTAATATATATATTTTATATACAGGTGTGTATATTTTTTACATATATTATAGATAATAGAGATGCAGAGGTAAGAGCTCACCACTATACTCTTCGGTTTCTTAAGCAATCTGCACATTTTCGGCTTTTTCTGAATTTCGTCAAAGTCGGAGATCGGAATGTAGATCCCAGGTCCAGGTTTGTCTTCTTTGCTTTCTTTGAAGCGAAGGGCCTTGTTCTGCAGACTCTGCCCTCCAGGAACACGGTTCTAAAATCCACACATAGAAAAATAGACCATTTGCTTCGGTCGAAACAAAACCCACGCACTGTTCGTAAAGGTTCGCTGAACAACTTCTTAACGCCTGAGTGCTGGATTGGTTATGAGAATCGTCCCATCCAAATAGGAGGTCAAATACGCAGCAAATCATAGCTGGAGTCAGAAGCTTTGAGCACGATAAAATACTAAGCAATTGGATCGGTCATTGTTGCTCGTACATATGTGACAATAAAATTGTTCCAGTTTGCAAACGAGCGATAAGGCTTTACCGGTGAAGAACTTGCAAGTTCTTGTTCAACTTCAAAATCCTCACCCTTGTCTTCAAGTCCCTCCACTCCTCTTGCACCCCCCGACCTCTCTGACCTCCCTTCTCCTCAAAACAGCACCCGTTGCCTTCGTTCCTCCGGGTCTGGGCCCTCCTCCTCGTCCCCCTCCTCCTCCCCCCCTCCACCCTCGGCGGCCGTGCCTTCAGCCACTGCGCCCCGAGGCTCTGGAACTGCCTTCCTCACTCCCTTCGCCTCGCCCCCTCCCTTCCCGTTTTCAGGTCCCCCCGCTGAAGACCTTTCTCTCCGACCGCGCCTTCGGCTACTCTTACCGTCGCTGTGAAGCGCTCCGAAGCGCCGTCCGGCGTGGAGGGCGCTATGTAAATCCAAGCTGTGGTTGTTGTTGCTGCTGTCGCGAGTGTTTAGCGCTTACACGTTCATCGCGCTTACACGTCTTAACACTGACGTGCAAACCGGAACCCTCCGCTCTTCTTTTTGAGCGTCTTTTCACATGGCTCCGCCACGGAGATGAATTTGCGATACCTTGCGGCGACCTTCGATGTTAACTGACCCGCCATCCACCCCCCCCCCCCACCCCCCCCGGGGAAAGCGGGCGGCTTTTGTGGCGCAGGTAGGGTTTTTCTCAACTAAAGGACAGAAAGAAAGTGAAGGGTCTGAATCTTTCGCAACAGGCGATTCTTGACCACCGTCACTTTCTTCCCCCTTCCGCCTTCCTGTGTCGCACAGCGGCGAAAGAGCTCGAGCTTCGACCGAACTCTCGGGCGCCGTTCGGAAGCATAGAAACTCGCTCTGTAGATCCGATTGAACGGGTACATTGAGCTTCACTTATGCGCTGGACCGAAGCGTTGGCAACTTTCTGGAATAATAACAGCCCCTTTGCTTTTGACGGATAAGCTCCATTGGCGTTGGGATGGCGGCCGCCTCAAGGCTCCTCGGCGAGGACTTCAAGTGCAGTGCGGTTCTGTCAGCGGATATCACACCTGCATTTGAAAACCGTCGTAATACGCCGGTCCCGGAGAACTCAACAAGGTGCCCGACACCCTGAAGATGTTATCTCGGCTCGTCATGGATAAAAACGGTGCGTAGCCATCTGGAAAGAGAGGAACTTGTTGGGTGAGTTTGAACCGAGGCATCTGCAGACTGGACGCCGAAAAGCAACAGCGGTGGATCGATAAAGCTTTTTAGCGACGCCGAAGTCTTGCAACAGACAAAATCCGAGTGACCCCCCCCCACCCCCCCGTACCCCCTCACCCCCACCCCCACCCACCTCCCCGCTCTTATCGCCTTCCTCCCACCCCATCCTCTGCCGATCACCGTCCGAAAAGTCGGCCCGAGGCAGCCTTCCCTCTTACCCTGGGTCTCATCCGCCACCTTGCGGCGGGCGACGTTGTACGAGGCCGGACCCACGGCGGGTCCCGTCGGGTCGGTGATGAAATTGGACACTCGGGGGGCTCGGTCGTACATCTTGGAGCAGCCGTCGGCTCGACACTAGAGGGTCTCCGGGCGAGGGGCGAGCATGCCAGCGGCACCGAGGGAGAGGGAGGGCAACGCTTTCCTGCCGACAAGAGTCGAAGATAAAACAGTCACCGGGTCAGGCGCGGAAAGGAGGGGGTCGCAGACGGCACCGGATCAGCGTCGGGTCCACCGGGGACGTCTGAGCGTTGGCCGGAGGTGGGGGAGAGGGAAGCGCTCGGGGTGGGGGTCGGACCCGGTGCTCGTTGGCGACGGGATCTGTTTCAATATCCCGATCGCACCGTTCGTTTCGGCCGAAGGTACATCTATAGGGACCCCACACCACCCCCTCACCACCACACCACCCCCTCACCACCCCCACCCCCTCACCACCCCCACCCCCTCACCACCCCCACCCCCACACCACCCCCACCCCCACCCCAACCCCCTCACCACCACACCCTCACCACCCCACCCCCACCCCCTCATCACCCCCACCCCCACCCCCTCACCACCCCCACCCCCACCCCAACCCCCACCCCCACACCACCCCCACACCACCACACCACCACCCCCACCCCCTCACCACCCCACCCCCACCCCCTCACCACCCCCACCCCCTCACCACCACACCACCCCTCACCACCCCCACCCCCTCACCACCCCCACCCCCTCACCACCCCCACCCCCACACCACCCCCACCCCCACCCCAACCCCCTCACCACCACACCCTCACCACCCCACCCCCACCCCCTCATCACCCCACCCCCACCCCCTCACCACCCCACCCCCACCCCAACCCCCACCCCCACACCACCCCACACCACCACACCACCACCCCCACCCCTCACCACCCCCACCCCCACCCCTCACCACCCCCACCCCCTCACCACCCCACCCCCACCCCCACACCACCACACCATCCCCACCCCCACACCACCACCCCCACACCCACACCACCCCCACCCCAACCCCCACCCCCACACCATCACACCACCCCCTCACCAACCCCACCCCCACCCCCACACCACCCCCACCTCACCCCCGCACCACCCCCACCCCCACCCCCACCCTCACCCCCACACCACCCCCACCCCCACCCCCACACCACCCCCACCCCCACCCCCACCCCCACCCCCACCCCCCCCCCACCCCCACACCACACACACACACAGTGGTTTACACACACACACACACACACAGTGGTTTACACACTTTACTCACTCTGTGGCGGTCACTGTGTGTATTCGCTGCCATGGAAACAGAGAGAGGCCCCTCCCCCCGACTGTCAATCACTGTGACAGCACAGCAACTGGGGGAGGGGCCACTGGGGGGGGGGGCACTGGGGAGGGGCCACTGGGGGGGGGAGGGGGCCACTGGGGGGGGGAGGGGGCCACTGGGGGGGGGGAGGGGGCCACTGGGGGGGGGAGGGGGCCACTGGGGGGGGAGGGGGCCACTGGGGGGGGGAGGGGGCCACTGGGGGGGGAGGGGGCCACTGGGGGGGGGAGGGGGCCACTGGGGGGGAGAGGGGGCCACTGGGGGGGGAGGGGGCCACTGGGGGGGGAGGGGGCCACTGGGGGGGGGGGGGGCCACTGGGGTGGGGGGGCACTGGGGGGGCACTGGGGGGAGGGGGCCACTGGGGGGGAGGGGCACTGGGGGGGAGGGGAAAAAAATAACAGAAGTCGCTGGGAAAAGCGCTCAACAACAACAACAAAAACAACAACGACAACAACAACGACGACGACGACAACGACAACAAAGACTACAACGACGACGACAACGGCAACGACAACAACAGCAAAAACAATGACGACAACCATGACGACAACGACAAAAACAACGACAATGACGACAACAACAACAACAACAGCGGGCCCCGGCCTGCTTCATGTCCCCCGCCTCGCCTGCCCCACCATTGGCGGGCGGGACTTCCGCCCCTCTGCCCCCACCCTCTGGAACTCCATCCCGCAGTCCCTCCGCCTCGTCCCCTCCCCTCGCCACCTTCAAGGCCCTCCTCTTCGACCCGGTGCCTTGGGACGTCTTCCCGACGTGAAAGGCGCTGTATAAATGTAACGTTGCTGTTGTTGAACACGTGTCCTCCTAACTGCGTTACTCTGGATTTCCTTTTCAATCCTTTTACTTCTCGACTTTCGTACATCCCTGAACGTCCTTTCTGTAAATCCCTCCTTTTATCATGTATCGCGAGGAGATGTTCCCCTCACCACTTATGGTTCCTTCCCCCCCCACCACCCCCCCATCCCCCTCACACGAGCTTGTCATATCATTTTGTATTCTGCGCCGTATTCTGTCTTGTATCGCCTGTTCACTTTATTCCCCTCACAGACCTGTCGCACTAGTTCCTGGTGTTCTGCTGACGTTCCTTCCGTTGAGCGGTTGCTGCTTCAGTGCCTTCGACAGTGGGTATCTCAACGCTCCCTGAAGTCCATTGACGTTTCTCTCTCTCCGGACCAGAAGTACAGCTTCCCCCGTGTAAATGTCCGGGACCTCTAAGGCTGTGGCTCTCTCTATTTTTTCTCCAAAGAGTTTGAAGAAATCTGCATAGAGCAAAAGAGAAAAGGTGGGAAAAAAAACACTATTGATACCAAGAGTACTTACTTTGTCTCGACTCCAGTCGCCGGGAAAAATGGGGCTTTTAACAAAGAGAAAAGAAAATCTTTAACTGCCCATTTGTAAGCCACGTACAGTTTTTCTATCCTTATTGATTATTCTAGTTTTAGCGGAACAAAAAGCGGGTGCGTTTAACCTGTGAACGGTCTACTCGAAACGGTTGGACCAACGTTGAAAGCCCTTTTCTTTACAGACTTTAGGCACAGCAAAGGAATTGGGGGGGAAGTCCATTCGAAGGAAAAAGCCCGGTCGAAAAGAAAGGTCTTCAGCAGAGACCTGAAAACGAGAAGGGAGGGAACGAGACGAAGGGAGTGAGGAAGGGAGTTTCAGAGCCTCGGGGCACAGTGGCTGAAGGCATTATTATTATATTATTATTTTATTATTATTATTATTATTATACTCTTTGGCTCTGAGCATTTTGCAACCATCCAGCACATTCATCTCACAACATTGTTTGTGCATTATTGCCAAAGTTGCAAGGCTGCCTTGTTATAACATGGCACATTATTACCGAAACTTATTTGTTTCCTTACGCATCAAAGGTACATATTTAGCAAATGCCACTGGAGGGTGACATTGCTCATTGGGATCTGCATAGGATGATGGCAATCCATGCATTTATACATTTTAAAAGTCTCCAGGCAGAGACTGCATCTGATGATACATATAGGGAAACAGATGTTTGGCAGAACATTACAAAGTAGTAATTTAATTGGACAGTTCAATCGAGGGAAGCTTCAGCAGTTCACGAGCATAAATGGAACGATAAGAGTGAATTACTGTCATAAACTTACTACCGGTGACTTGCTTTTTCTTTAACTACATGGAATATATGTATGGACAAATATGACTATTTACTATTTTATAGCTCATATTTTATTTACTATTTTATAGTCCTGTAGCTCAGTGGTTAGAACACTCGCTCTCGCAAGCAAGAGGACCTGAGTTCGATTCCCGGGCAGGGGGCGAAATGTTGGGCAAAAAATTCCTTACTCCACACGCCTCTGTTTACCTAGCAATAAGTTGCAACCCGGTTGTTAGCCGATTGCCAGATCACTTTTCCGGGGATAATAATCCCTCAAAAAAGTCACCCAATCCACGCCTATTTGCGGATCACTGCTGTGCGCAATTGGCTGCCGCGTTTCACCCGCAAATACAGAATTAATTCCCTTTACGGTGTATTCCGTGAAGCGCTTCGAGACAGTCTAGAAAACGTGAAAAGCGCTATGTCAAATGCAAGTATTATTAGTAATAGTATTATTATATGTTAAGTACAGCAAGAAGTAATGCAGCAACTACGACTGGCATTTACCCTTCACGTAGAGTACCATCTCAGAGAACCGTACAGTGAGGGCTGGATGCTGAAGGAGGAGGGGGAAGTGAAGAGAGGCGCAGTCGAAGAGGTAGGTTTTGAGGAGGGGATTTAAAGCCAGATGAAGAGGGGGCGAGATGGAAGGTCAGAGGCAGGGAACTCCAGGGCACAGGGACATAGTGGCTGAGGGCAAGGCCAGAGAGGGATCAGGGAAGGAGCAGTAACTCAGTGTTAGGCTGAGCAAAGCGAGCAAGGGAGAGAGTGCGGTCCCAATTTAAGCTTAAAGCTGGTTAAGTTGCCATTGAATGTGAATCGCCCGCTTGGTTATTATTTTATATTCTGCTTCAATGCTTTGAAAAGAATCCCAGCTTCTTTAAACGTTCCTCTATAGCACCGGATTCCGAGGGTATCCGTCGTTGTTGGCCTGTGACGTTCGCTTTCAGTATCTATTCTCGAGAATCTCGACGCCATATTGAGCTTAATTACACGTTCCGATTTGTACTCTCTTTCTTCGTCTCTCCTAATGGAGGGGCGTGAGAGAGCAGATCAGGAGACGTGGAGTATAAACATCGGCGTTGACTAGTTGAGCTCAATGGCTTGTTTCCGTGCTGTAACAACCTTTGTAACTCTACAAAGTATAATGGACATTGCAGGAACATTTTTGGAAACCATCCACCCAGAATATGTCAGCCGTGGGAAAGGCAAACGCGACTGAAGCATCATTCCGGCTGGATGGCTTCGACAATTTTCCACGATATCCTTTTTTTGAACCATGCAATGTAAGATGATTGCTCCATTCAACGAGTATCGCTTTGGTTCTTTGCTCCAGTCAAATCATTTAATCATCGGAGCTTGCTTTAACCTTAGGAACGTAGGAATGTTTAGGAGAAAGACTATTGAGGTCCAAAGTAACTAGAAGGGTAATTCTCCTACCCCGGGCTATCAGTTACTTCATCATTTAGCTATGCAATTCCTTCTCGAGTCCTCTGGCACACTCTACCTCGTAGAAATTCTCATTATTTTTAAGAAGATACAATAGACAGACAATACTATGGAGGAGTAGAACGCCATGAATTTGATTAAACTGGCAAGATAGTGTGAGCCTGCACTTCACAAATCTCTAAGGACTTTCTTCAGATAATATTTATTATTTCACTCATCGGCGCTGTGGTTTTACAGTATCTGCTGTTTTTTTCCCCCCACACATGCAGTGGGATTGATTGCGCACTCAGTCTCACGAATCTCAACCAAACGAAAGGTCTTAGTGCAATTCCAGAATGATGCTTCATCTCATTAATTTACCCTGTCCAAAGTTGGACCTGGATAATCACTTAACTCCTATGTGAATTTATAATATTTGCGCTTACATAAAGATCTTTTCGGTCATTGCTTTTCTTGTCGTGCAATAGCAGAACAACAGATGCCTGCGAGTTTTGCTCCAAGGCTGCAAAACACTCAAGGGGTTTGAAATTGCATCTTCATTCTTGTGGTTGGTTTGGCAGTCTAAAGCCCGGGAGCTTGTCAATAATAGTAATAATAATAATCCTTGCATTTGATATAGCGCCTTATCACGTCTTCTAGACATCTCATAGCGCTTCACGGGATGTACTGTAATGTGAATTGACTGTATATCTGTGCGCGAAATACACCTGGTAACCATCTCGAACATGCTCACAGCTGATTGTTGTTTGCTTTATATAACGTTTCGGTCCTCTGTTTATTTTTCCTCTTCAGTGCTTGCAGTCGACATTTTATCGGGCAGGTTGGCAGAGTGTGCACAGCAAACAGCAAAGGAAAGCAGGCTCAATAATCTACTCGAGTGATTTAAACTACAGGGAACAATTGAGTTTAATTTCACTGATTTCTGGAGTAGAATAGCACTATCCGCGTATCGTTCAGAAAAAACAGCTCAGACTGCAGCAACGTCCTCAATTAATTCACTTAAAGGCGGAGGGATTGAGGGGGAAAAAAGTCCTCCAGAGTTTCGGGGCGTAGTGGCTGAATGCGCGACCTCCAATGGTGGAGCAGTAGCTTTGAGGGACAGTCACGAGGCCGGTGTCAGTCGAGCGGAGGCACTGGGTGGTGGACTGGGGAGCGATATAGCTCTTTATCGCATCATAAAAAAACATCTCAAAGCACTTCACAGCATTTTAAAGTGGAGAGCAGGTGTAGGTGACCATCAGTTAACCGTGTTAGTAAACATTTTCTTCCTGTGAAGGCAGAACGCTGTTTCAGGGCATGAAATAAAAGGCAGGTGTATCATTCGGCTTAAGTGGGGTTTCCACGAAAGGATTGCGTGCAAGGCGACAAACCGTGGCTGTAATGGTTCGAATCAAATGACTTCTTTACTAAGAATGTATGTCATCGAACACACACAACAAAACCTCAAGTCAAAGTACAGTCAAATATAATAGCAACGCTTCCATATTATAATAACATAGCAACACGAGTGATCTGTTACCTTCTTCCGGGACAGTTTGGCAGTACAACAGTGACTCTAACTTCCCTCCAGATTCTCCTTCCCCAAACGTTGCTAAACGACCATCTTTATACCCCCAAAGTCAGTTCATGTGACTCTGGCAGAAAAGAAAAGCGGAGTTGAAAGGCGTTGTATAATTGCAATTGTTATTGTTGTTATAATCCACATTTGTAGCTGATACATTATTTTCCACAGGGGGCTCAATCATGGTTCTAGCAACGTAAGAAGAGCAGCAGTGGAGGGCGAGAGAAACTTTAGACCCTTTAGTCAAGAGAATAATTAACGCCTGGAAGAGGTTGCCAGCAACGGTGGTTGAGGCCAGGACCACCGGACTAGTTTCAAAAGCAAGGTGATGCTGTGATGAGGACTGGAAGGAAGAATTCTTCATCCAAACCAATCTTCATTCAAACAACAGTCATACCACTTTACCATATATCTTGTGAAGTGCTTTGAGACATCTTGGTTAGGTTTTAAATCAAATGGAAGGATTATTATTATTATTATTATTATTATTATTATCTTGTGACTCCTTATGTGATTGACAATAAGATACATCCTATTTCATTACAAAGGTGCATCAAGGTGGTAGCCTCCTCGTGTGGAGCAGACGATGGCTTGTGGGCTCCCATTCCCCCCTAGAATGTGCACAGGTGCTTATTGGTTGATATTGAAACACCGTCGAGTATGTCGGGCTGTGATTCTGTTTGAAATAAACGAACAAAAAAACGCCGGGTATGAAAAAAAAACATTTTTATTAGACAAATGATACACAGAAAGCTTCGCCACTTGTAACAGAGGCCCCCTTCCCCATCAAAAAAGTGTTCTTTATATGCAACACCGACATCAAAATAGGCCTATAAATATTGGTTATGATTAACTATGGTTCTTTTTCTAACCCAGTAAATTATTGTAATCTGGTTTGTCCCTGTATACTGTGTCCAAATGAAAATTCATAACAACAGATATGAAATAGAGAGAGTGACAAGGTTATGCAAGTTGCGCATGCTTCCGTTAACTTGCATTATTCATACTATAAACGGTCTCTGTGGTAAAAATGGGTTTGTCTTACACTGTAGACATTGTATTGTACAAACCAGTAACATAACTATCAGAACGCTGCTCAGAACAGGTAAAAGAGAAGAATTAGCATCAAAATATATACTTTGTTGTTTGCCCACCCTCACTGGACAAGATAAATTCTGAGGAAACAGCTGTAAGCCTTTTTTTTTTCTCCTTTTGTTAATTAATCATTAGTTAAGTTACACCTAAAGTTGTAATCGAACACAGAAAACATAGCTGCTTTCTACCTACCACTTATTAATTATTGTTTTTTTAAAGTTAAAAGAAACGCATCACAAATTTCTCATTTGCCATGGTGTGTGACACAGTTAGTGTTTCTAAAAGACGTTTGGTGGTGAAAGTGGCACTCCCTTCAGGCGCTGACGTCCCCAGAGTTTGCAACACTGCACGAAAAATGGAGTTTACCTTGTTGGAAACGTACTTAAAGCACAATTTAACTACCACTTGACGAGCTACCCAACTGCTTAAAGCTGCAACTTAAAAAAAAGAGGCTCCAAAAATACATATATAGCTTCCAGCGTCAGCATGAAACAGTTACACTCTCTAGACTCCGTAAAGCTGTGTAAATGATTCATCCAACACCGCTTAACCTCCATATACACTGATTCATAAATACGGCCATTACATATCCCGATGCAAAACGGTTTAATGTTCGAACCCGATTGTTGTAATGGACAACTGGTTAATCATAATCTATAGCATGTGAGGAGTACATTATCTTTTAGCGAAACCGAGGAATATCTGGCTTCTTTGAGAACAAAGAGTTATTATCTACACAGCTTGTCCCATCTCATGCAGTGTGACTGTTTTCTGTTCTAACTGAGCAAATATGATCGTTAAAGCAAGCAGGAACAAGGATCTAGAAGGCTGTCGGAACATACCTTTTGCAGTTTGGTTTGCTATTCGATTCCCATGTAACACATTTAAGGCCACATTGTTAAGACAGACAGAATCTACTTCCAACTCCATTTTCTCGTTCATTAGTTCAAATTCCAGGCAGATATGAGTCTGGAAAAGGTTTGCGTTTTTAAAGTTAGAGACATCACATATTTCCCCCCCCCCCCCCCCCCGCGAACAGTTAATCTTGAACGGTAATCAACTTTTCCGTCCCTATGTTTTGTTCAAAAAATATTCCCTCTAACAATCCCCAATTCTACCATTGGATTTCTGAACTGCAATTCCGTATAAGGTGGGGGTTGCTTTTGTTAAGGTTATCCACTATTAGCCGAAAGAATTAATGCTTGTCATTGACTGTCAAGACGTACTATTACATAGCAGCAATGAACTCAATACTTTGCAACTTCAGAAGGACATTTTGGCATTTTACTTCCTCCAGCACCAAAAACCACAACACCGAAAAAATCTGACATTCATTTACCTGGCAATATCTAACATACTTTCTCCTATTAACACCTTAGGAAACTGTTGCAAATGATTTCCACTTTGTAAGCCAGGACATCGTGGATTTAACCTAAACTGTACATTAGAAAACATCTGCGTGTAATGCAACCTTGCAGAGGAATTTTGTTTAAAACAAAGTCTAAGCTGGGACCAAATGTACCATATTTTAAGTTTGTTTTTGCCACATGATGCCTGAAATATTTTGACAAGTTCCCGGATGGCTTCGTTATGAGTGTGATCCTATAAAAATGTAGCATTCTTTGAACTTGTGGCCTGAATGTTCTTACTTTTAATAGCAGGTTGCGCCTTTTGGTCCGAAATGAAGTACCACGTGTAACTGCCAGCGATAAAAGCACTGAATTTTGAATGCAGCGGAAATAAACATAATACTGGGCCATAAACAGGCTGGAGTTATTGCGATTATATCTGAGAAAGCTGTAACTAAGATCCTGACTTTCTTTTTAAAAAAAGTTACGTCCAGGTTAGTCCCACCAATAATTTCTATCATCTCACCAACTGAGTCCCGGTGAAAAATATAACATTCATATAGATGTGCCCCGGTCAGGGTCATTGTTCAGGCTGTACACTGCAGATGGAGTTGGCTGATAGGGGACAGAGGACATGGTTTTGATGGGACTTCTGAAAAAGCCACCATTGGGTGCCCTGCTTCTGAAGGGGCCAGTTCGGTGCTCGGGCATTCCTCCGAATGTGAAGCCTGAGGCAGCTTTAGCAGACAGGCTGCGGCTTAAAGTCTGGATCTGCTCTGGTATGAAGGTTGTGGTGGTGATATGAGTGTTTCTAAAGTCACTGATCTGTTCCAGGGTTTGCCTCGTTGGCAAGGAGTCGATGTCCAAGGGAGTCAGGTCGATGGACGAGGTGGAAAACTGCTTGTGAGGGCTATCGTCGTCTGTGAGGAGGCTGTTTGCCCGTCTGTGAAGGTGCTCCAAGTCGATCTCCTTGTCATCCTTCGAAAGAGAGAAAGAGAAGAGAAACGGAGATTCAAAGAGAGAGGTCAGAATCTAACCATGAAACCGACTGAAACATGACAAGAATCTAAATGTGACCAATACTGGGGTGTGAATCCATGTGCACCTAACACCACGGTTAGCTCAGTTGGTAAACTTGTGAAATGAAGGTTCTGAGTTTCAATCGTGGGATTCGAGCCCACTGAACACTTCATGTTTTCAAAGTTGATATGTTGAATACTGAGTCTCACATCTAAATCATATCCTATTAGAGGGAGAGGGATGCAGGAGTTAAGGTCTTCTTGGGGTGAAATGGTCTCCAAAGAGCCATACCTAGCAAAAGCCAAGAGGTTTCTGCAGAAACCCCAGGAAAATTGACAATACAGATATGTCCTCAACACTGTGAGTCAAACCTCTAATGGGTAGGATATATTTAGTTGGGCAAGTAATGTGTTGCGTGTTTATCCATTTTATCAATTCCATTAGTCAAGCAACCACTGTTCACATGTAAATCCAGATCATAAAATTATAGAATTATACAGCACAGAAGGAGGCAATTCGGCCCATCGTGCCCTTGCCGGCTCTTTGAAAGAGCTATCCCAATCAATCCCACTCCCCTGCTCTCTCCCCATAGCCTTGCAAATTTGTCCTCCCCAAATATCTATCCAAAGATAGTGAGTGTTGGCAGGCAATCCAACCATTATAACAAACAACTTCTACCAAATTCAACCAACTTCCTCCAACTTCCGCCAAATGTGGGTAGAAGCTAGTTCTACACAGATCTATACGAACACTTGACAACAAGGGTCATAGGACCAGTGGCTGAACATCTGGTGACAACTGTCAACTTCTCCCCACATGTGGTAGAAGTTGTAGGAAATGTTGATTCTTCAGAGGAAGGAACTGCCAGTAAGGTGACAGCTCCATGTGGTCCAGAAATAGGCGTGTGCACTGGATGTCTTCTATGAAGTGACACTGGGTTTCGTTTCAATTAACCACATACATTAAGATGACACTTGCACCAGTTTCGCTCCCCTGTTATCTAAGACAAGCCTTGGCATGTTGGCTCTTGTTTTGATCAAAGCAAGCTGCCAAACTAAACATCATGCTGTTGCACAATCCATCAAAACGGGAAATGTGCACAACTCTACAGGTGAGATAAAAGACTTCTTATGTTGGCAGTACATTACTCAGTCATGAAGAAATCACAGCTGAGGTCAATGCTGTCCTCACCACACACACACACACACACACACACAAGCATTTTACAGCAAAAAAGTTGCAAGACCATGATCTGGAGAGGTAACCCCAGCTAACTGCTTATGTTCTCTAGCCCAGTGTTGTACGGCCCATTTGCCAGTGTGAGTCTCAAGTCAGTTTCTATCTCCTGGGGTGGGACTGATCTCAGCTCTGGTGCTTCCTCAGGACACAGAACTGAGATAGGGAACATGGTGCAGAAGTTGGCAAGCACCTACCCACATCCTCGCTGACCCCCCACACACAAGTTAAATATCTTTTTTGCACACTTTAACCTCTAATTTGTGATAATTCGGAACAGGCTTCCTGAATAAGAACCAAAAAATACCAGTTCCAAAGTTGAGTTTCCCACAGTGATTCTCACGGTATTGTCCATTAAGGAATGCCATTCATTTCTGATTCCCATCCCCTCTATAGTGTGTATTATGTTGGGCACGCCTATGAGTGTTGTTAACGGTGAAATAAAGTGTTGAAGCTGCTAATTTGGTGAAAAACGTAATACTTGTAATCGATATTGTGTCTTCCTTGTAGGAGGAAGTCTCAAAGCGCTTTACAGAATTTACTCCGATTGTATGTTTTGCGGGTGAACACAGCAGCCAATTTGCGCAGAGCAATGTCCTGCAAACTGCCATGAGATAAATGACTCATTTTATCTCGGAAATCGTTCGCCAGGCCACAGGGCAGCCTTCTCTTCCCGAATAGATCTTAAACGTCTCCACCTAAACCTAAACGTCCCACCCTGATCATGGTCTTGCTACTTTTCATCCGAAAGACAGCACATCCGATAATGCAGTGTTCCCTCAACGCTATATTGGAGTGTAAGCCTACGTAGGGTGAATAAAGACCTGATGTGGAGTTTGAACCCACAACCTTCTGACTCAAAAGCGAGAGTCCTACTTACTGAGCCGGGCTGATGGAGCTGCCGTTTTAACATTTAACCTAAAGAGTGCCTCACTCATAAGACTAGCCATTTAGTGTTTGCTACAGGTAGCTTATGGTTACGTTTCATTAATAATAATAATAATAATAATCCTTGCATTTGATATAGCGCTTTTCACGTCGGGAGGACGTCCCAAAGCGCTTCACAGAACACACTGTAAAGTGAATTGACTGTATATTTATGGGCGAACGCGGCAGCCAATTGCGCACAGCAATGTCCCACAAACAGTCGTAGATTGAAAATGACCAATTTATTATTGTTTTTAGTTTTTGGAGGGATTAAAATAGTCTCTGATGAGATCTCTATTTTAAAACTCAGCCTTCTGCTCACAACTGCATATCTAGGGGCCAATCTAGGAATTTTTAAACCATAACTGAATTTTCAGGAATTAAAGAGCTTGATAAAATTGCTTTCCTCTCTGAGCTCTAAAATTAAACGGTCTCATTAGGGCTGTTCACTTACTGCTGAGGTGACTTTGGGTTTACCGCAGTACGTACTGGCATCAACATTCATGGCCTGCATTTACGGGGGCACTGACAATGCGAGCTGAAATGTAGATTTGTCAGCCAATATTTATCTGAATGTGCCTTATATCGTGTTGTGCCACACACAGTGCTTGTCTTTCTTCAAAAAAGGAAAAAAATGACCTAAACAATGTGTGCATGAACTATCATTCGCTTAAAATAGTCACTACACTTTATAGTGTACCCTGTGCAGTGCTTTGAGGCGTTTTGATGACATGATGAGGTGCAATGTCTTAGGCAAGGATTCTTAATTATTATTATTTGGGCTGGAGTTTCAGTGGGAGGATGAAGGTGTAATGGGGGACCATGTGTAATATGCACTAGATTTTCAGGGGAAAAAAACTAGGGTACACTACATCTAGAACAAAAATACGGTTGTGCAAGACAATCTCGGGGGTTTTGTGTCTAAGCGGCATAACACTGATCCTAGACTTCTTCCTTCAGAAGCAAATCTAAATTGGAGTTTGCCAAGGCCTATCACTGTCGGGGTTCCAAATACAGTATTTGCTGGAATCACAAATACCGTCTTGGAATTGGGAACCAAAACTCCTGCAAGCAACCAGACATGTATTGTGCCGACCATACTTCAAGCTCCCTGCTCCGACATGACCCTCCTTCCAGGGATCGTCTCTTGGCTCAACGTGAAACACGTGTGGCTACCTGCAAGCCGATGCTGGGTCCAAATTCAGCTTGCATACCCCTCACCCCCATTGCCAAATCATCCAATGTACAATTAAGAGCCCGGCAGTCCGCACCGTCTTAATTCAGATTCCAGGCAATGCAGCTGTAAAGTCGCTTGTGAGATTTATGGCACGTGCTTTTCGAAGGATCAGAGTGTTGAGGCATGTAACGCATTTCGATTTTCAGTGAACCTTAGTCAGGCGTAACGGAACCAGTTGCGGAATAAAACTCACTCCGTTCTGCCCCACCGATACGCTGCACCCCATAGCCCTGCAAACTCACGTGTGCGGGGCGGGTGGAAGGAGGGGAGAGAGAGAGAGAGAGAGAGCGAGAGCTGGTCCTGCTTAGACTAGACCTAGACCGGTAATGGGTGTGTTGTGTGTGTGTGTGTGTGTGTCACGTAGGGTGTGGGGGAGAGGCGGCATGGTGTTGGGACGATGCCTTTCAAAATCCTGCTATCGCCATTGTGCTTCAGCCCCAACCTCAAAAGCGAACCCCTTACTGCACCCGTGTGAAATTTCTATTTCTCACCTCAGCCATCCTTATGACCTCTCTGAGTGAAATTGCCAATTTAGTGCTGAATTCTGGGCAGTTTTGTGCTGTGGGCGCAGGCCCCCTAGGAAGTGGGTTGACTCTCTCTAAATTCATTTCACATAGGGCCCTTACATCCTGCAGAGAGAGAAGACTTTTATCCATTAGTCCTGGCTGGATTCAAACCCTGGTCCCAAAGCAATATAGGATCGGTTAAATTATCAACTGAGCGGTTATAGACAATGCGTTTATAACAAGTCGCTAAATACAGTTCATTCCACAAGCAAAGGAGACTGGAATAGCTCATGCGTAACGAAGCTGCAAATGACTTGTAGAAGTGACACAAATATAGTTAACACTCTGTTTAGTAGTCTTGTTTATACAAGGTACGCGTTTTGTGGTGTTTAGTTTAAACATTAGAATTAATTATATAGCGCAGTTTTAGCGCAGCATGCTAAGGTCATTTCTGTGATTTTTGCGTCTGTATGTGTGAACCCGTCAGTCACCGCGTGTGTGTGATTCCGTGTCGTGTGTGTGCGCGCGCGTCACTCAGTCTGTGTGCGCGCATGTCGCTGTGTGTGAACGGTTCGCCGTGTGCCCATGTGCGTGCTGTGCGTGAGGGCGTGTGTCGCTGTGTCCCTGTGTGTACGCGTCCCTTTGTGTGCGGGTGACTGTGCGTGTGCGCGCGTGTGCCACTGTGTGAGTGTCCCTGTGTACGTGTGTTACTATGTATGTGCGTGTGTCATTGCGTGAGTGTCTCTGTGCGCGTGTGTGTTACTGTGTGTGTGTGTGTGTGTGTGACTGTATGTGTGAGTGTGTGCCACTGTGAGTGTCTCTGTGAGTGTGTGTGTGAGACTGTATGTGTGAGTGTGAGTCACTGTGTAAGTGTCTCTGTGCGCATGTGTTACTGGGTGTGTTACTGTGTGTGTGCGACTGTGTGTGTGTGTGCGCGACTGTGTGTGTGCGCGCGACTGTGTGTGTGTGCGCGACTGTGCGTGGGATGTACATGTGCGCGGAGCTGACATAGTAAAGTAGCGGCATAGTTGCTTAGTGACAGTAGAACGCTCACGGATACTGAACGCCAGAGGGTGAAGATGCTCGATCTTTGCACAGTGCCTCTCTGAGGTGTGAGTTGTCATGGCTACATGCGGCATTGCCTGAGTTCTTTCTCGCCAACTGACTTTAGCCTACAGAAAAGTAATTCCAGTTATGGATGTTAACTCCGATTCGGGGAATAAAACCCACACCTTACAATAGGTGAAACAATACGTTACATACAAAAAAATATATACGGTCACATCATTTTGCCGTACAAAGGACAGAGGACAAAGTGGGATGGTTTTTAATTGTTCTGTACTATCAAATGAGCACTTTATCTTTTTTTTTAAAAAGCCTGAACTGCCTGAAAAAGAGAGGGTTCGCTTCAATTTAAACATCGAAGGAATAGATTTTTTTTTCAAGCCGAGATCTGTAACACGGCAGAATATGGCTGCGACCAAGCGGGGGACATTTGTTTTTGACTAGAGGTTGACTTATCCATCCGCCCAAGCAGATACGGCTGACATATTCCTTCTTTGATACTCTGCAGATCAGATTGATGTCACCGCCACTCAGAGAATTGTGGGCTTGTTCTCATTTGACAAATACAACTCCAGCTCTGCTCCTTTCTGACGACCATTCAGATCGCAAAGAGAGGTTTGGATGAATAAGGCCCTTCAGTCTGTCTGACCTCATCCTTCCACAATACCCAACCTACTGAATCAGTCCAATGTCCTGGGCTCAGACACTATTCCCGGGAACCTGAGCCTGTCACTGTATAACCATCTGGGAAAAAAAGATTCTTCCCCGGTGTCTGAAATTGCTCTTTGGAACCCTAAACCTGTATCGTTCTGCTGTGTTGTTGCATCCAAGGTTTTGATCCGGGTTTATTTTCTCAATCCCATTTCCAATCTTGTATACCTCTTTAAAGTCCCCGTGAGACATCTCCTTTCAGGCCTGAGAGCCCGAGCTTTCTAATCGGTTTTGGGTACCAGGTGATGTGGTCTTGGCTACTTTCTCTCCGTCTCCTGAAGGACGTTTGTCTATTGCTAAGCACCGCAGTAAGTCACTGTGGAACTGGACCATTGCATTCTGACATGGGCATAACGATGGGGCCCAAGGTTACTGGGAATGTCTTGCTGGCTCAATGGAGATACTCTTTGAGAATGGTGTTTTAGCACAATGGTGACATTTTCCTCTCTGCCACTGCTTAAAAGCTGGCAATTTTGGCAAGACATGCGCTACTGCTAAATTTCCGTGTTCTTCATTAACATCTCAAAGTCAATTAAGTGGAGCTAAATTCTATGTACTTTTGCATCAAAGTGAAAATAGCATTTGCTGCATGTTTTGTGATACGCACGTTATGTACACATTTTAGGTGATATTCTAATATCATTTGCCTGACATATTTAACTTGTGGTGTGTGTTTATGAAAGGCATTACCAATGGCATCTGAGTCAAAATAGAAGTGTATGTCGAGAAAAAGTCTGAAGGTCTCAAACCTCCAACCAAATTAAGCATTGGGCTGCGAAGGTATAGTCCTCAAATTTTCTAGTTTCTATGATATGCAATACAATTAACACTTATATAACATCTTGCATGTCAGCAGGACATCTCAAAACACTTAACGCATGCGGCTGGCACCCAAAACTGAGCTGGGGGGAGAAAGATGAACACGATTTAAGCCAATTAATGTGCTTGCATCTCCATTATCTTTTACTGCTTCGAGTGCATGGATCATAATCCACCTCAGTGTTCTTTATCTCCGGAAAACAAGTCAATTCTCTGAGTCTGTCCCGTCCTGATAAGTTTGAATGTTTTAAGAATCACCTTAGTTGCTCTTCCCTGAACCATCTACAAACGTCTGCTTGAAACTAGGGTTCTAAAACGGTGCAAACTATTGAAATACGAGTGTCTGATACGCAGAAATTTCTAACAGGATTCATCAATAAAATGACACGACTCCAGTTTCCATATTAAGTAATTCTGCTGGAAATAGCTATGGATCACACCCTAAGGACATACACCATATTTATAGTGGTAACTAACCTGTTTCAATGCATAAATTAAGACTTTCGAGATATACTCCAATACTTGACTAACCTTGTTGATACACGTCTAACGTTGATTGGATAATGATTACAAAAAAAAAATCTTTTTTTGGCCATGGAGACTTCATTCTCTGGAGGACTATTTTATCACTACAATAGGAATCGATTTGCTATGACTTTATAACGCTATTTAGTTTATTAATTATCAAGCAAATTTATTGCTTCTATTTAGCAATCCGGACAAAACAGACGGTGCTGGGTCCTGTTATGTTGAATTGAATTTCAATCGTGTTAAACACGTGTCTGTATCAACCTGCAATATATGCATTAGAATGCACTTGCCATCGGTTTAATGTAAATATTGAAAAAAAACATTGCGTTAAGGATCGGAAACAACAATCCGGGGCTTATCTGGCATGTCCTGAAATGCAAATGAACTCTACTCTTCTCCACTCTTCTAAGTCTCAATCCATGTCGTCACAATATAGCTATTTATTCCCTTTAATTTGTTGGCCCCAATTTGCCTCCCACCATCTCCCCAGGTAACGCATCCCACATCTTCACCAATCCTAGTAGAACAAGACTAATCTAACCTGTCTATTCACTTTCCCTCTCTTCACAGCTGGAGGCCGTACCCTGAGGTACGTTGCTGTGGCTTTTCTCTCAGACCCGTACTTTGAGGGTTCTCTTTATTGATAATCTTTGGGGCCTATACTGTGGTATATCAGTGCGGTACCATCTCTGGCCAGCTTTGCCGCAGTGGTTGGGCCCAAACCTGACCACCCTGTTGATCACAGATCAGTTTTACTGTGGCTAAACCAAGGATACCGCCTTAACTCAGCTAATCTCCTGCGAAGCAGCACTCTAAATGCTGAAGGGAGGGAGGGAGGGTGTTAGCACGAAAACCAGTCAATAGTTATCAACTGAAATCCCACACTTTCTGACCAGATTTGATGTGGTTGGTATAAACGCCGGCCAAATCTATTAGAAGCACTCTATTTTTCGCCCTCTCGTTTCTCTTCAAATTCTCAGCCCATTCCCTTGTTTAAATGTTAACAGCCTCAGCCACCGGTTGTGGCCAAGCATTCCACACCCCGACATCTCTCCCCTTCCACCCTCAACCCTCCCTGCGCTGTAAACGTTCTGACCTCCCCCTTTAACTCTCCCGCTAAAGATCCTGAGCTCACGCCTTCCTTTATCCTCATTTTTCCTCACAACCAGCGGAAATAAATCTTTCCCCACTTAACCTCTCAAGTCAGAATTTTTGAATCCCTCGATCGGATCCCCCAACTCCGAGCCCCCCCCACTCCCACCTGCCTCCCCCCCCCCCCACCCCAATCCTCCCTTAACCTTCTCTATTCCATCCTCGAAAGTAGACTCCCGTCAGATACGTCCAGCACTTATTCACGAGGAGAGATCCGGATGAAGAATGTTACCTCTTTGGAGGGGACCCGGGAAGCTCTCCGTCTGTTCCACCAGTTCTCCACAATGGCGATGACGCAGGCCAGGATGATGCCGGCCGCCAGGATGCAGAAGACGCCGGCGAAACTGGCCAGATCCAGAGCGCTGCTCCTCTGCTGTGCTTTGTACGAGGAGTAGATGTCACACTGGGTGGTCCTCGGCCACCACTTGTGCTTGAGCAGGTCGATCTCCCCGCTCTGCAGGAGTTCCAGAATCCTGGACGGGCAAAAGAGTTGGTTTGGGGGAACGTGGCGGCGGGTGAGGGTGAGGGGAGGGAGGGAGGGAGGGAGGGAGGGGGTGGAAAGAGGAGAAATTGTGCAAACATTTTGATCAAATAGATACCCGGTGAAAAACACACGTGGGATTTAAACCTACATCCTCCGCTGCACGGCTGGTTGACGCACCGACGTACTTCACCAGCGCCTCCCGCTCTTGTTGAACACCTAACGCATCCTCGGGTTGCTAAGTACACAGCGAGTAACTTTCCACTCAACGGGTCAAAAGAGCCCCCGTCTATTTCCACGACACATGGTGTCGATTGCATGGATAACCACACGGGGGCAGCCTTGACAGGGAGTGCAAAGCCCGACCAGGTTCCTCAAGGAGGCGTCTACGTGTCCAACAACTTTTTATTTTCTTTCTGCAAAGAACGAACGCGCGGAAAAAAAAAAAGAGAGACTGAGCGCCCGGGAAACGTTTTGCGGGCAAGGATTCCCTGCAAACGGACACCAGTGCGCGCCCATAATAGGCAGAGGAGCCGTGAACATCGGTCGACGTGTGAGAGGGCGGCTAGGAGATACCAAAGAGAACTTTAGGAGGGACCACTTCAGGCAGACGGCAGAGAAATCGAAGTGGTGTTTGAAGCAGATACTGTAGAGGCATTTAAGAGGAAGCTAGATATACGCGTGAGGGAGAGGGGAATGGGAGGCAGCAAGGATTTGGGTTGAGACTTGTGGAGTATTAAGACCCTGGCACAGACCGTTGGACCGAGTGGGTCTGATGCCGTGTTGCACAGTCCTGGGTAAATCTAACCAAAAGTTCGCCTGAAGTGCGAATACACAAGCTTGTCCCGTGCTTCATACTCCCTGCGTCTGACAGGCTGGAGGCGGCAACCGAGAGGAGCAGAAATTAATCGAGACAGAGTGCTGTGTTTCCGGACAGGTGCATGATGCACATTTCTAATTCAGATAGAGGTCGTGCGTGTCGGAGAGAGACAAGCAAACCGACCGAAAACAGCGTGATGCACGAGGCGGGGGAATAGTTGAGGCGCTGGTTAGCGCTAAGTCTCGTTTTTGCTAATATATCACGTGGTTTTTTAGGGAAACGTTTAGCATACTACAGCAGTCCTTCGAGGTTCTGCTCTTGAATGGTTCAGGTCTTATCTCTCACACCGTCTCCAGTTTGTGTCCGCCAACAGTTTCTCTTCCAGCCCCCGCACCGTCTCGTGCGGTGTTCCTCAGGGCTCGGTCCTCGGTCCCCTCCTCTTCAACCTCTACATGCTCCTCCTTGGTGACATCGTCCACAGACATGAGGTCAACTCCACATGTACGAGGACGACACCCAACTCTATCTCTCTGCCTCCACCCTCGATTCCAGGACAACTGCTGTCCTGACAGATTGTCTATCTGACATCAAGTCCTGGATGAAAACTAACTTTCTACAGCTGAATGTCAGCAAGACTGAGGCCCTCCCGATTGGCTCCGCACCTCAGGCGCTGGCAGCATCAGCATCCACGGATGCACACTGCACCTCACCGAGGCTTCAGGAACCTGGGCGTCTTGTTTGACCCTCAATTGTCCTTTCCCCCTCACATCCGTGCCATGACCCGCTCTGCCTTCCCCCACCTCCGCAACGTTGCCCGACTCCGCCACTGAATTCAAAATCCTCGTCCTCACTTTCAAGCCCCTCCACGGCCTCGCCCCTTCCTATATCTCTGATCTGCTGACTCCCTACCAACCTGCCCGCTCCCTCCGCTCAGCCTGCTCTGGCCTGCTCCATGTCTCACTGCTGATGTCTAACCAGCTAAAATAGCATAGCTTGTGTTCGAAAGATTTCCCGCTGCTCGGACCCTCATACCTTTGAGGGCTTTGGCTTCAGGTTTAAAAGGAGCTAATGGAAATAATCCTTGCTTCTAGTACCTGTGGCGTATGCGTGTGTTGGAGGAAAGGAGACATACATTTTATCATGGTAAGTGCACACATTAACCTCCTAACCCCCATCAACCGTACAACAGAAAACGCAGCTCTCATTCAAATGACTCTCGAGTCTTCAAGGCAACCGGAACGTGTACTGTGCAAGCAATATTCTCAAGAGAGGAAAATACTCTCGTCTAGTTTGACTGAATTGCAAAATTTAAAGGGCTCTTTGCTTCTCATTACACTCCATCATCAAAACAGAAAGAGTAATTGGTTGACTGCGTGGCAGTTGTCACTTAATTCTTTTGGAGAATAAGCTTGAAACAAAACCTCAAATGACCCAAAATGTACATCAGAAGTTTCAATTGGTTGTTTTAAAAATCATCTCCTGTGTAGCAGGGGTGTCTGGTCAATCCCGTGATTCTCATCAAAAGGCTACAGCTGATGTCATTTTTGTTCTTAAGGTGTAAAGCTTCAGTGATTAATGTGTACGATTAAACAACATACATGATACTAATCAATTTAAAAACAGGACAAATCCTGAAATTATCTCCCTTTATATTTCATGGAGTCAAAGCTGAACTCAAGTTGCTGTTGTTTATTGGACGAGATAACTATAACATTTTTAAATACCCGAATGGTATGACCCATCGCGCAATGAGTAGGGATTTGTGTCCGCGCTGTGAGCAAGAGAACGGTGGCAATGGTTTCGCGCATTTCTTGCTGAGTTGTGCCTCTCATCAGGGAGTTCCTGCCATCCACCCAGTGAGAACTCAAACCCGCACTTGTTCAACAGTAATTGGCCAATTAGTCACTGTCCTCGTGGGAGGACAAGAAGGGAGGTAGGTGTGTTCCCCTGGAGCTAAGCTGGCTCCGAGGAGATGTGTTTGGCAATGGAATGGCAAGTTTGAGTCAATTGTCTGGTGGCCTCGGTAGTGTTGTCCATGAGCTCATTGGATCTGCAACACTCCAGGGCACTGCTGATGGGAGAATAATCAGCCTGGCTGACTGCGAGGATTTGGAGGAGCAAACTGGTCCCTGGGGTTATTCTTACCGCTCAGCTCCTGTTAACCCTGCAACAGTTAGTGTGATCCTCGCTAGACAGGCAGTCGAGGCTTAAATAAATAATAATAATAATCCTTAAATTTGGGTTAGCGCCTTTCGAGTCAGCAGAACATGTGGAAGCACTACTCAAGATATACTTTAAAGTGCAGTTAACGGTGTATGTTTGTGGGTGAACATGGCAGCCAATTCACATACAGCAATGTGCCACAAACAGCCATGGAGTGAATGACTAATGACGATTGTCCAGGACCTTGGGACGCCTCCTGATGTGAAAGGCGCTATATAAAAACAAATGGTCTGTTGTTACTCTTGTGTCCTTCAGCACCAAAACTCTGGTAGTCTCTGCCTGAATCCCTCTGCCTCTCCAGTCTTCAGATCGTGCCTGCAAATCTTCTTCTTTGACTGCACCTAAAGTCATTTCCATCCCTCCCTGACTCGGCGTCAAACTTCACCACTGTTAAACCCTCCGAGACAGTTCCTTGCCTGAGATGTGCAGAGGGAGGGAACGAGGTGGAGGGACTCGTGGGTCAAAAGCAGAATGGCTGAAAGCTTGTCTATCAATGCAAAAAGCAAGCTAGTGTTCACTGAGCAGAGGATTGGTATGAGTGCAGAAGGTTGGAGTGGCAGGATGGAGCAACGCTATGGAAGAATTTGAACAAAAGGACAAGGATCTTGAAATCAAACCACTGGGGACAGGGAACAGGACCTAGACTAGAGCACTGATTATCCTCAAGCCAATTATCCCCATATCCAAGTATCTGCACTGAGGCCCGATGCAGAAGTGGACACAGGGCTATGAAGAAAGCCCCCCAAAATCCAACTGTGCATGACGTTCCTATGGATGCTAACTACCCCTTTAGTGACCTCTCCTGCACCGTGCACCACTTCACACGTGCACCCACTTGGGATTGATATGGCTGAATGCAGAGGTAAGTTTTCATATTAACAGAACGGTATATAAGCGTAGACATAGACGTCCATGGAGAGACTCACAGATAGAGAGTGAGAAAGAGAGAGAGAATGAGGGATGGGTAGAATGGAAGACAAAGTGCAGCAGAGAAGACTCAAAACTCTGTGATAATACAGTACAGTAGAAACCCTGATGAAACAATTGCTTAAGTCAGCAATGTAGTCAATTGGTATTTTCCGTGATGTCCAATTATCCGTACTGTTTGCTTTTCCAATGGGACCGAGCCCAATCAGTGCGTATAATCGACTTCTACTATATCTTCAAACTGCATTAGTCCTATCTGTAGGGTCTGAATCCAGGGCATTTACCTCATCAAATTAAACAATTTCAGCCAATAAACGAAGAGTGTGTTTTTATTCCGGTCTACTTTTGTTCAATCGAAATTCACTTGGAAAACCAATCTGGACCAAAACAAAAAAGAATGTAATGGTCAAAAAATTTATATCGAGCTTGTTTCGTGCAATAAACTGGGAGAGGGTTGTTCAATGAGAAAAGAAAAAAAATCAGCTTTGAATCCAACCACAATAATTACTCTCAGTGCTAGTAGCTTCTGATAGAGAGTCAGGTCATTTTTAAGTTGTTTGATCTGTTTGCCCTCACGCGCGCACACACGAACACACACACACGAACAAGCATATGGGCTTTCCACCTCCATAAAAGGTCTTTGACAAGTACGACATCCGTAAATTCGAGTGCCAAATTGGCAACGATGCTGAGACTGCTGTAATGTATGATGCACTCTCCTAAGTAGATGGAGCTGTAAAACCACAGCGACATTCAGATCTCTGCAGACAGTGAAAAAAACAGCATTTTACAGAGAATATTAAAATGCCGCGGACTTCAGATTAATGCACGTGATCCAAGCACAGAACCGAAATGCGTTATCTGACTTCCATTCACTCTCTTATCATATGTAACTGATTTGATATATTAGCTCAATGTATAAACCCAAACCAGGTATCATGTTGTTCTCAATTATTCACATTACTGTGTGGCGTCAAAATGCTTTACAATTATCTGCTGCATTAGCCACTTTACCTAAATAT